CCCGGCCGCCTTACACACCAACCCAGCTGGAATAACCTTCACGTCAGGGAAAGGCAGGGCACAGGTGCTGGTGGGGAGCTCTTTCCAGGAGGATGAACTGGAGCTGAACAGAGTTTTGGCAGAATTCAGCTCCCCCAGCCCCATGAATCACTGGCCGTTAGGGGACACCTGGATGTTAAACTGAACTTGCCAATACTGCACCTCAGGTGACTGTGCAGCACACATTTTGAACTTTATTTCAGTGATGACACTAATTATCATAGAATCATAGAATCATAGAATCTTAGGGGCTGGAAGGGACCTCGAGAGATCATCTAGTCCAACCCCCCTGCCAGAGCAGGGTCACCTAGAGTACATCACACAGGAACTCATCCAGGTGGGTTTTGAATGTCTCCAGTGAGGGAGACTCCACAACCTCCCTGGGCAGTCTGTTCCAGTGCTCTGTCACTCTTACAGTAAAAAAATTTTTTCGGATATTCACCTTGAACCTCCTATGCTCCAATTTACACCCATTACCCCTTGTCCTATCACTGGTCATCACTGAGAAAAGCCTAACTCCATCCCCCTGACACTCACCCCTTACATATTTGTAAACATTGATGAGGTCACCCCTCAGTCTCCTAATTGTCTCAGCCCGTTTTTTTTACAGGGGTGAGGGGAGGGAAAGCTCCTAAGGCCAGTCACAAACAGAGGCAGCATCTGTCAAGCCTTAAAAAGCCCCAACACAGCAGGCTGCTCCTCAGCACCCGTGCTTGGCCGGCTGTCACACAGAGGTGGCACTGCTGACACCCCAGCAAGCTCTGCACGACACAGCTACAGTTTTACACCAAAGTAAACCCGGGTTTGGACGGGGAGCTAGGGAAGAGCTGTCCTGTAATTCACATCCCTTTCACACACAGCAGTGCTTGTCCCAGATCCCACCCTGGGGAACGGGACCGACGGCATCAGAGGTGACAGTGGGTTTCCACCCGTGTCCAGCTTTCCACAAAAACCCAACCACAAACCCTGTGCTCGTGGTTGTTCATGGGAGAGGAAGGAGCTGAGCATGCACAGAACGTTGAAACTCTCAAACACAGAATTATTTAATTATCAAACTTTAATTGATAGGACTAATCTTACAGAATAAAACAACAGGATAACCAGTCAAGGTTACACTTAAAAAATCCAGCAGTGCAAATCTAAGACTAAATATTTGTCATCTCCCCCTCCCCTGAAATAGGCAATAGATTATTTAAAAATACCGTAATACATGGTACTTACATATTCCATTTAAAATAAATCTGCAGTGGGCACAAACACCTAGAACTTTTATTTTTAATATAAAACCAAAGATTGAGTTGCTTAGGATATGGATAAGATGTGGTGAACTTCCATGAGCCACAGAAGGCGAGTCCTTGGCTGGAAGATAAAGTGGCCACGACTTTCTACAACCCTCCTGGTCCCCTCTTCTCCCACAGTGATGAGGACACTAATTAACAAAACCAAAATGGGAACAACCTCATCCTAACAGGTGGCAAAAGGCTGGAGTACAAAGCTGAAACAGCTCTCTTGGAAAAATCAAGTTACAGAGGGAAAAAAACCTAAACAGCAGAAGGAAAGTCTGGAAAGAAGCCCTGCAGCAACAAGCTGTCCCAGGAAGCAGCTGCAGCAGGGAGCACCCATGGTTGTACAGCAACATGGTGATGGGAAGGGAGCACACGGAGAGACCATCACAACATGGCACCTGGACAGTGTCACTGCATGGGAATTGTTCCTCTTTGGCCCTTAAAGCACGAAGAAGCAACAGACAGGAGCTGCCACCAGCACAACACGGGGCAGTTGTGTGCATGGTAGCAGTCAGAACACACTGCGTGTTAACCCGTTCTTTTCTAGCTCCTTGAATTCACATCACTCTTCCTCTTCCATCACCACAACACCCCAGTTTTAGTCACACATTTCTCACCAAAGTGTCATTAACAGAAATCAATGATTTACTTAAAGTTGATATGAAACACTTGAGTAACAAGATTTTCACACAAGGTACAGTCTCTGTTTGACCCAGGCAGGGTCCAGTGATGGACTCTGCATTCCTACTGCAACACTAATCCAGGAGTGCTGATTCGGATGCATGGACAGAGGAGGAGGGAATACTCAGGACAAGGGGAGCAGAACACGGGTGAGCTGCACCACTCCAGGCACTGGAGCAGGGCACGGAGAGCTCAGGCACCGTGGCCAGGCTCACCCCAGGCAGGAAGGAGACACTGCCCACCTCCTGGGAAGCACCAGCTCTGCTCCCTGGAAACCTACCCCTGCAGTACGGACGTTTTAATCCCCGATTAGTAAATCTGCAAAGCACTTAATACAACTTCATACCCCAAAATGCTGATAGGGAATTGCACACATACACAATAGGGAACTGATGGCCACCAGGAGATCACTGAATTATAATTTAACTGAAATAAACTTTTTGCACAAGAACCACCAGATATTACCATAAACTTCCTATGGAAGATTATACGTTGGATCTCAAAACAATCTTTATCAGCCAACTCAAAATACTGGTTATATTTGCACTTTACTCACAAAGCTTGTGTATAACTGAGGACTAATTGCCAGACTCCTCCGCGGGACCATTTGTTACGCTGCATCTGCACAGGAGATGATCACAGACATCAGACAGTAAAACCCAAAGTCAAGACAGAGACTAGCAAAGGGCTCCCCAGTTAGGCAAGCTGTGACACTACTGAACTAGAGAGATGGTGTTTTCTTAGATGTTAGTGATCACTAGGTAATGTCAGTAATTGCCTTGGAAAAATCAGTACATACCAGAAGATACAGAGCTCCACATTGTCTCGAAAAGGAAAGGCTCTTTAAAGCAGTGCTGCTAAGTTCAGTTGGAATATTCACTTCAAGTAACTCCCAAGAAACCTACTATATTAAGCCAACGAACACCAATTAGAACATTGCATATAAGTATCACTTTCCTGTATTTTAATTCAAATTTTGCACATAGAACAAAAGAGTGAAACAATTTCCTTTTTCAAATCAAATCCACCTTGTAAAGCAGCATCTAAGTAGGATCACATTTTCTTAAGTTTATAATATTTTCTTCTCCACGTTTAAAACTGCTTTGTAACCCATGGGTTTTATATTCAGTGTCTTTTGACATGGATTGTAGCTGGCCCAGGATGTAGAGGGGCTGTATCCCTGGGAAGGGCACAGACAGGGGGGCTGGACTTCGCTCATCCCCTGCCCCCAGCGCTGGAGGAGCAGGTATGAGCGGGACTGGGCAGAGCACGGGGGCCACAGCAGCCAAGAGCACCTCCTCACAGGGAGCAGGCTCAGGAAACTGGGAAGGACAAGGGAACACGAAGGGATGTGCAGACAGGCCCGAGCAAGCCAAGCAGCAGGTGGAAGCTGGTAACCACAGACCCAACGACACATGCAGCAGTGACCCCACCTGACAGAAAAAGTCAGTGTCCCCGTCCTCTTCAGGCTGCAGCGCGTGCTCTCCCCAGGTATAGAACTTCACATTTCAGCCTTAACACCAGGTTTGGCAACTGGGAGTATGCTTGCTGCCTTTAATTTGCAATTATGTCTCCAATTAACTGAGGCCAGCCCCACTCCCCTTCCCGGCAAGCTCAGCAGCAGGGAAGGGGCTGTGCAGGGAGCCCACCCGGCACTGCTGCAGGACCAGCTCTGGCCCCAGTGCCATGGCAAGACACGCTGCTGGTGGCTTGTACAGAGAAAGGAAATACCTCAAGCTACAAGAGTAACAAGCACATCACTAGTTCATATGCAGGATATGAAACACTTTGAAAATTTGTACTGCAGGGATGTTTTAACTGAAAACACAAAAGAAAAGCTGCTTACGCTGCTATCAGGAGTCTACAGGTAAATACATAATCTTAACACATACTATAAAGTGAACACTTTTCCCAGTCTCTCAAAATAAAATAAAATAAATACTTATTTGGAAATTTGCACCTGCTGAGATTCAACTGGGCTGCTTCAAGGAGAGTGAAAAATGGACATGGAATAGATGAAGACCAGCTACTCCTGCAAGGCTACTTCTCCAGGAGTTTCTCAAAACACTGAGCTACTTGCATGGAGTAAAATCAGTGTTAATAATGAGCAGCGATCTGTGAGATGCAGGTTTAACACTGAGCAAGACTGATTCAGTCTGACTGCACAGCCATCTGCCACGGGTGTGCACCTCTTAGGACTGAAAGGCCAGTTCAGAAAACCTGAGATAAATGGCAAGTGAGTGGCTGAGATGAGATGCAGGATGCCACAAACCAAAGGCCGGGAGCATCACTTCAGACACGACGAGAGGCAAGAACTTCCTGTAAACTTGAGCAAGAGAAAAGCTGAAAGGTGATTTAAATTCCAAAAGACCAGTTGCTGGATATAAATTCTAAATTTGGCAAGATTCACTGAACAAGATCACTATCCATTTTCAAATCCAGGTCACGAAAGACTACTGCAGTTATTTGAGATCTACATCAGCACCCGAGCTTCTCTCTGCCCTGCACCCCCCACCCCAAAGCAGGCAGGGCTCTGGGGTTCAGTCCCCTTGGCAGACCCAGGTCACTGCTCCACCCCACTCCAGGAGGCTCTGCAGTGACAAGGGTGTCAGCACAACAGCTGCAGGGAGACTCAGGGCTGCAACATGCAGGGTCCAGAAATGCTCTGAAACACACAGCAGGGCCAGGTCAGGAGGAACAGGAGCCGAGAGATACCCGTGTGGGAGGAACCACCAAGGTGGCACCAAGGGGACAGTGAGCAGCACTGGGCCACTGCCACTACAGAGCACCCACAGTGGGAGCCATCTGCTGCAAACATACCACACATAGACCAGCCCCAGGCTTAAGGGTTGGGAAACAAAGGCAGGGGGGGAGAAGCAAAAAAAACACCACAACAAAAACAGAGCATCTTTGGATTAAAGAACAAAAGTTTTGCTACCAAAGAGTTAAACCTGAAATAAAGGGGCCAGCAGAATATGGCTTACTGAGCATCACTTTTGCATACTGTTTAAAGTTTATTTTTAAAAAACTGTTTCTGAAATTCTCAGTCACAACCGAGTAACTAAATTAAGTCTAATGCTTGTAACTGAAAGATTATGAAAATATTTTTGTTCAAACCATGTAAAAAATCCTCAATAATACATTGTAATATTTTCTTTTTAAAACTAAATTGGAAGATCAACTCTCAGCAGATTTAAGTGTATTACACACAATATTTTGTGAATTAAGATTTATTGATTTCCATTGTATTTGCTTTAAATATGGTTGAAGCTGACTGCAGAAAAGGGATGGTGAAATTTTTAATTTAAAAGTAAACTAATGGTGAAAGAACATCACCTCTGGCTTCCGTCAGTGCCTCGTTTATCATGTTTTATTAATAAAGTTCCAGGACTATCACATCCAGGGATGTTGGAGGCCTCTCCCAGCAGTGTCCTTAGCTTTGTGTCATTTTCCTGTGCCAGAGGTGAACGTGCTTTCAAAAATACTGCCACTTTCCCAGCACCGTGTCTTTGATTGCATCAACATATTGAGTGGGCACCCAGTACACCCAGTAGTAAGAGGCTTCTGTTGGGCCCAGCTGAAACGCCTGCAAAGTTAAAACGACAACATTTACCAGGGGGACACAGAACAGCTCACACAGGACAGACACAGCTCAACCCATGCAAGGTCAGGCCAGGCTGCCAACCCACTGCCTCCTGCAAACACTGGGGGCATACCAGGTTATCTGGGAGCAACTAAAAAAGTGTTCCTCAGAGGAGCAAGAACTGCAAAGGACCCATTGAAACAATGAGCTCTGACAGTATCAGAGCAGCAACAAAAACCTTGGCCAGTTTCAAGAACAACAGGGAATTATTCTGGAAGACCTAATCTGGAGCGTAACTCAAACTCTCTAAAGAAATGCCCAGAATGTCAGATCTGAGAAGCCAAACAGGAACTGAAGGAGGTCATAACCAAGTTTTCATAGTCAGAACATTTTATAGAATTTCATATCTAGACATAATGTCCTATTCTCAACTTACGGCAGTATCCATAGGGGAGGAACACTGTGGCAAAATAACCTCTATCCTTGCTTTAGGGTAAGAGTTTATTGTAGCATGTTCTGAAGATGAGATTTTCTTACACAGGTGATCAAAAATCAAGTATTTGGACAAAGATCAGTGTGCTCATGCATACAGTAACTTTAAGCTAAAACATTTCTCCCTTCTCCCCATAAAGAAGTAAACAGACTTACATAAGGAACTTCTGTCAACATTAGAAGTTAGTTACTGCACTTTGGAAAGCAAGCCCTCAAAAAAACCCCACAGACTAAGAAACATCCAAAAATTTAGTAGAACTAGCACTGCTCTCTTCTTCTATGTGTTACTCTCCTAGACCCAATACCAATTTTTCAGAAAATTTCATATGGGAAAAAACATTACAGCATCAAATCACTATTTTTTTAACCACCAGCAAGGCCTCTTGTTTATAGAAATAAAACAGAAACTAGAGATAAAACCAGATACAGGAAAAAAACACTGACATTAATAAATCACGAGCTATATTGTGAGTATACATACTCTTTTAACACTGTCCTAAGACAGAAGATAGGAAATAATGCTTAAGCACTTCATGCTTGTGTGAAACCAGCCCAGATTTTGACAAGTAGCAGATATTCAACATGCCACCCAAAGCATTCCCCCTGTGACAGCAGACCATGTCCACATTCCCACCTTCAACAACACTGGAGGCTGGTATCACCACCCAGCTCCAACTTGCTCCATTTGAAAAGCCTTACTTCTGTGGATTTGCATGAGGTAATTAGACTGGATATTATTAAAGTAGAGACATTACTTACCATCATGTGATAATCCTCATGTCCTTCAATAGGTTCACTCACCACATTTTTAATGGACCCCATGGGTAATTTTTCTGTTCTCTCTACATTAAAATTGATCAAAGCATTATTTCTGATCCATGAAGAAGCAGCGTTTCATATTCATTTCCAACACTACCTCCAGCACTTCCAAAAGCTCCTCAGGCCAGTAGGTTCCTCCTTGGGTTAACTTTGCATACCTGCTGCTGAGGACCCACCAGGCACATTAGCACACACCCCACAGCTGGCACACTCAGCATGTAAAGGAATCCAGAAGTGGATCCCACAGTTCCTTGCATTTTATGTCTCTGAATCAGTGTACCTGATCCAGGCCTAAAGGGAGTGAGGGGAAAACCCTGGCTGTACCTAATGCTTCCCCACAAGAAACTCCACCCAGACCAGCAGGATTACTCACCACAGGGAAAGCTGGTCCAGGAGTAAGAACATTCAGGACTGACTAGCAAGGATTGTACTAAGCTCTACAAAATTACAAGGCTGAAAAAAGACAGGCTAACTCCCTCTGTGACAGTCTATTCCTGGCTACCCCCTGAGGCAGGGTTCACTTGTTACAGGGAAGAAAATACTAATGAGCAAACAGGGAAAGAAACAAAAAGAGAAACTGAAAAAACAAACCCAAAAGATGGCTACAATGACATGACAGAGCAATGTCAGCCAGGTTGGGGCAACCAACAGGAATGACCAACTCTGTGGCTCATGGCAGACTTTTCTCTCTCAGTTCTGTCCTCACTTCTTTCTGAAGACTTAACTCCAAGATCCTTCCTTTCAGTTTCAGTTTTCTGTGTCTGCTTAAAATTACCTCCTGGGATTTAAGACAAAGGAAGCCACAAACACTCTACAAAGGAGACACTCAACTATGAGCTCCTTAGATATATCTAATTTGTGTGATCTTGGAAGAAAAACCACCTACCTAGAAAAGGCACAGAGGAAGATAAACTTGGTGATGTAAAGACGAATAATCTGTACTTCAGGGCTGTAACTAAGGTGACTCTGAACTACCTCAGTCAGACTCCTGACACTCATTCAGTAAGATCTTACTTTGCTCTCATGTCCAGCATCCCACAAGTCACTTCCTCTTCCCTACATCCAGCAATAGACAAATCCTTATTATCAATGCCTCTATGAAAATGGCACAGACACACCAACCCACACCAGACCTCAGAGCACAGACATGTCCAGTGACCGTGCAGCACTGGGAGGCTGGGGGAGGAAGCACCAGTTTCAACTGTCCAGGATTAGCAAGGGAAAAGCCCCATTAACACCCAGTTACAGTTGCTTTCACTCTAGCTCTTACATGCTGGCATCTGCCATGGATTCCTTGGAGCAGGAAGGAGTTTCTCCCAACAACAGCCAGCAACTACAGCCATTCCCTAGAGGAAGCAAGCTGCTGCTGATGTGGAGAAGTAGGGGAACAGGTGGAAAACAGATGACTACAGGAAAAATCAAATTTCACAGCTAGAACACTTCAGAAGTACTAAACCTGAAACTCATCTAGAAGGTGAAAGAAGAGGACAAATTACCTAAATAATAATAATGTATTTAGAACACATTATCAATAACAAAAAATCTGGCTGCCCAATCTACAGAGGAAAAAGAACAATGTCTCACTCCATCACAGCCTGGGAGAAAAATCACTGCAACTAGTACCCAGAGAAGTTTGAAAGCCAAAAACACCTTCACAGTCAAGTCTGTCCTACAAAGGAAAGATCAAAAACTTCCAAGATTTCTGCTTACTTTGGAAATAACACAGCAGCTGGAGGTGTCATCCAAAGCCAACATCACCATCCAATTAGGTTACTTTACTGGGACAGTGAACAAGCACTTCTGTTTCTCTTGCTCATCACTAGAATATTGCCCCATCTTGGTCAAACTCAAGGAGCTCAGCGTCCTTTGGAGGCAGGGGGTTATTGAGATGTTCTCAGCAGCAATTCCAGTTCCTCCTGGACAGCTCAGGACAGTAACCTGATCCTCTGCACAGCAGCACATGCCATGGTTTCTGCAGTTGTGCATCACTGAAACAAGACACCCAACTACTGCTGGTTGGAAGACAAAGATGCCAGCACTCCTGGCTTTAATCCTGGCTCTAAGATTCTCTTTCGAGTCCCAGCCAAGTCATTGAGCCTCTGCCTGATGTTGGCATCAAACCAATGTTTATGAAGTGCTACTGAGATATGCTAGAAATGCCAAATATTATCATTTACATTTGGTACTATGAAAAACAGATTAGAACATCTGACTGCTGGCACAACTGAACTCAAGCTTTTCAAAAGCAGAAGTGAAACACCCAGTAATATTCAATGATCTGGGAGAATGGCATTTGAGAAGCAGAAGCAAAGCTTAGTTTTTATGGATTCCAATCCCAACACTATTCCCCGAGCACAACCAAGTCACACCAGAAGACGTTTCTAGGCCACACAATTGACATGTAGCCCAATTATCCATCATTCACCTCAGAGTTCTAGAGTTGCTCACCTTTTGTACCAATCCACAGCTGGTCTTGCTCAAGTTTAAAGGTCAGTCTTACTTTCCCCCCTGACTTGTTGTACATGCCAGACAATGGCACTGTTGGCAGGCGCTCCTGCAGAGGCAACACAGGGAGGGACAGTGAAGGACTTGAACAGTGTTGAGCTTTACCCCAGCAGGCCCCCAAATACCACACAGTGCTCCCTCATCCTCCCCCACCCTCCCGGGGAGAGAGAGCCAGAAAGGGAAAAAGACCTGTGGGTTGAAATAAAAGGCAATTTAATGAAGGAAATAAAATAGCACAGTAATAAAAATACTGGAATACACAAACAAGTAATGCACGGGCACCTGCTCCCCACCCGCTGCCCGTCCCGTCCCTGGCTAGTGATCCCAGAGGAGAGAAACCTTCCGATATCACAAGCCCAGGAGGCAGAGGGAGCTTCCAGCCAACCCTCATCTACACACTGAGCACGGTGTTGGAGTGGCACAGCATTCCATGCCATATAGAATATCCCGCTGGCCCATTTGGGTCCACTGCTCAGGCTACGCTCCCTCTCAGCTCCTGGAGCACCTGCGCGGAGCAGGGGAGGTGGGAAGTCCTTGATCCCTTAGCAGCAACTGAAAACATCCCTGTATTATCAGCATTCTTCTCATACCAAACCCCATACTAAAGCCAAAACACAGCTCCAGTCTAGCTGCTAACAAGAGAATCAGCTCTATTCCAGACAGAACCAGGACAAACAGGTAAGATGTATCCTCTTTATTTTTAAGACAAGGATGATTCATCTTTCCAGTTTTCTACTAAAACAGTCTCGAAGGGCTGAACCAGCCACCTCTCACACCACAAAACCCATCTCTCTCTTCTGATTACAACAATTTCTCCAGGACTCATGTACCTACCTGAACACCTTTAACAGAAGGCATCACGTCATCAGGTTTTCCTTTATCCAACACTTTTCTGTGTTGCTACAACATAAAAACAGAAATTAAAATTCACAGAATCACAGCAGAACTTTTCAGTTTAGTCCCAGCTGCACCCCTGACCCTACCCCAATACCACCAGGAGACAGTTAAGGACCATTCACAGTCATTTACCACTGGAAATAGTTCATTTCCAAAGTAAACTGAGCACTATCAGTGTCAGTGCAAAGAAACTGTATAAATGAACAAACCCCCAGTCTAATGCAAAGAGTAACATCCCTTTGAGGACATACATAAGTATACATCTATAAAAAATTAAAGAGCCCAAATCTCCACTTCATTATTGCACATGCTGAATCACATTGTTAGCATTTGGCAAGGCAGCTTTTTAGCTGCCAAGTCTTCTATCCCGGGAACAGCAGAAACCTCCAGCCCTGGCAGCACAACACAGCAAGAGCCCAGGGCAGGTCAGAGCAGCAGCAACTGCCACCAGCCCAGCGACAGCCTGCACGGTGCTGAGCACCTCTAAACCAGGATGGAACTGGCACTGAAAGTGAACTGTGACAAACCATAGGAGTACAAAGGCATTCTTGACAAATGCAGTTCAATAATACACAGTTTAATTTTTAATCAAATTTACTCTGGGGAAGGTGTGGGGCTGGCAGCACCCTGAGCTGAAAATCCCTGCTGGGATGCAGCACTCCAAGGTGTGATGGGAATGTTCAGCATCCATGTTCCTTCTGTGCTGAAGGAACTGCTTGCTGGGTGCTCATTTTAAAAGCATGTTTTGGAGACCAAATTATTTCATGCCAATTAAAACTAGTTAGCTTTTAGAAAGAATTAATCTAGACTATGTTTGAGCTAACAACAATGAAATATTTCTATTTTTTAGCATTTCCTGTCTGACATGCCAGCCTGTGCCTAACACCAGCAAAAGTTATGCCTTGTAGAGCCTAAACGTGTTTCTGCTGCTAGAGCCCCTCACCAGAGCACTTTTCTATCACTTTGCTGTGAGGAGAGAACCCCCAGCCTGCTCTGAGGAGCAGCAGGACCCACAGGTGGCTGCAGAGGGTTACACGAGAGCCAAGCAAACCCCACAGCTCTCCCACACCACGAATTGCTGAGACATCAATAACCTTTTGTCTGCAAAGCGGCTCCTTTTTATTTTCTTCAGCTTTGACCTCTTGTTGAGCAGCATCTTTAGGTGTATTTACTGCTAAAACATCGTTGATAGTAGATCCAACAACCATGATTTTTGCTCCGTTTGTTACTTTGATTTCCCGCAATGTTTTCTCCTCTGGCAGGAGTCCCTTGAACATAACTTTCTGCATAGCTGGCGGGAGGCCTAAGAGGCAAGGAGAAGGGTTAGGAGCCCCCCGGCAGCACCAGGGGCAGCGGGGAGGGGAGGGGGCCCCGACAGACCTGTCAGCGAGTGGATCTTCTGCTTCAGCTCGGCCCCCGTGCTGTCCAGGCAGAACTTCACGTCGTACTTGTTCTTGTTCCAGATCACCTTCAGCTCCACCAGCTCCTTCCCGCCCTCCGCCTCGCCGCCGTTGCTGACAGAGGCCTGCGCG